TCTCTCTCTCTCTCTCTCTCTCTCTCTCTCTCTCTCTCTCTCTCTCTCTCTTTCTCTCTTTCTCTCTCTCTCCCCTCATCCCCTTACATAGTGTGGACCGGACTGAGAGAAAGGAGAGGACACTCCGGTATCTCTCCGCCGACCTGTCATAGTTCGTTAAGCGTGAATATGTGCAGAGGACAGTAAGCTGATCGTGAGCTCTGTGGTTGCTAGATGCCGCCCTCCAAACCTCCAACTCCCCCCTCCCCACACACACAAACACATAAACACACACACACACACACACACACACACACACACACACACACACACACACACACACACACACACACACACACACACACACACACACATATCCACCCCACCCTCCGCCCCCGCCCTCCATTCCCTCACAATGTCTTTCATTTTCCCAGTCAAGGTAAACAATTCAATCACAAAGGGAAGTAAGCAAAAATAATGTAGTGAAATGTACATAAACATGAAAAATGATATCAATAGGCGGATATTAGACCATATCTTTTCATATAAACTTTGAACTTGTCAAGTATTAACAAATGGCCAAACATACACGGTCAACGATGGTCAGTTCTAATTGATCTCTTATGATTAGACATGATGAACAGAAAACTATCTAACCCATAGCACAGTGAGGATAGCTGTGTACATAAGTAATAGGTGGCCGGGGACGGACGGCGGGGGCCTGTTGTAATAAACACATAACAGATCCCTGGGGCGGGAGGGGGTGTTTGCGGGGGCTGGGCAGGAGCGGGCAGGGGCCTCAATTGGAGGGTTCTAAGGTGTGACTGGAGAGAGGAGAGAGGGAAAGTGTCTAAAACGGAGAGGGGACTTACCGGCGAACCTGGCACTGTGGGGAATGAGCCGGACCAACAGGGAGCCTCAAGTGGAGGATTGGAAGGTGTGTGAGAGAGGGTGACCAAAGATAGATAACAAGGCTAAAACAGCTCCTGGACATGGATGGCTGGTGTCACTATATATAAATTATTGATGGTCAAAGGTGGATAGAGAGGGAATGTCGTCAGGTAGTCCAAC